TTTGTATAAAATTGATTGCTACAGTTCTCACTAGAAGCTCTAATTGCATTCCTGGTATAACTTAAAATGATAACCTTATCTTAATTAGTAGCATGATGCAGAAATACTTTTGAAAGCCTCTGAGAATTAACTTGCATTTTTAAACAGAAGCCCTGGGGCTTTAAAGAGAGAGAGAGAGAGAGAGAGAGAGAGAGAGAGTCCTATTGAATACATGAGCCAATGTTAATTTATCAAACCCATAAAAGAAAATAATCATATAGCATGAGAGACTAAGCAACACACCTAACACTTCCTCTGATCAAGCAGCTTGCAATTCTCTTCATAGAATACATACAATGTCAATCCAATGCTCAGATTTCTGTGGCAGCCACTGATTACTGGCACCCACAGAAGAGTCTCCACTCTGGCTTTTGTGATAACATTCACTAACCAGAAGACGTGAAGTGCAACAATGGTGGGAATGAGTAGACAGATTGGAGGGTATGCATTGTCTCTTCATGGAGATTAATTACCATACAGATCACCTCTGATATTCCCATAGGTCCCCATACTAACTTTATTGCCTAGGTAGTGCTAACTCAGTTTCTCCTGACCCCCTTCATTTACCCAACCTTTCCAACACCCTTGGTCGATCCATCTATATTTAGCAGGTCATTCTGCATTTGTTTCCAGATTTTCACTCTTGTAAAGAATGTACATTTGGCTCAACAAGAATCATCATGGACTAGTACACCAGGACATATAAAAATTAACATTTCAAATAATTACCTTGAATTACATTATAGAAAAATAAAATACCTGCAGTAAGTCATATATAAACACTAAGGAGATGTTAAAGATTTTCCAACGTAATGCTTGCAAATTTAGAAATCTCCCAATAGATGCAATGCAAACCATCATGTCCTCCAAATATTTGAAAAAGAGGGTGGATTTTTTTTATCACTCAGAACTATAATTATAGTCTCCCCAGAAATGTTAAATAGATGCTATTTCAGAGGACTACTCTCCTGAACTTGGCTGTGGAGGAAGTCTGTGGTTTCCTTCTGTAAGCCAGTATCAGCTGGGAAATAACTGTTTTCCTATAACACTATTTGACATTTTCTTATTTGAAAATTAGTATAGTTCAAAAATCTACAAAATCTTTTTCTTACTAGAAGGTAAAGAGCAGTTTTGTCTCAATCTAATGAGTTAGAGCTAATAGAAAACATAATAATATGGTATTATTATTAGGATTGAATATAAAGCTAGAAAAAAGCAGAAACTACAAACATTTTATTGAAAAGACTGACGCTCATCTAGCTTAATTTCTAAGCATAAAATAAAATGAACAGGAGAAAACAGGTACATACTAATATTTGTTCAAAACCAATTTTTATATTGCTAGTGTTCTTTTCAGTAGTATTAAAACTGTCTTTAAAAATACCTGTTATGTGCAAGGAGTTTCCCATTCTGCAATGATGCAAAGCTAAATGTGGTAACTCTTTTAGGACAACAGAGGAGCCTTTGTATTTATTTAAGGCTTTTCTACAATGAAATACGGCATTTCAAAGAAGTGCTATTGTGCGTAGTATGCATGGGCATATATTTACATAAGCAAATTATCCATATCTTGAAAGTCATACATATGTGTATTTACTAGGTACCTTTCCTCATATTTAAAACTCTATTCTCAGGCTAAAGACATATTAACCTTGTGAAAAGTCAGCCAGAAAAATCCCACTGTAAGAGATATTTTAATCAATAGACATTTCAAATTGAATGACCCTGACCAAAACTATTAATAAGATTGTTCTAAACAAGGAAATCCCTCAAATAATTTAATTCACTTTGAATTTTACTGTTGCAAAAGTCACCTATCATCTTCATGTGGCAAATCCTATCTTTTTACCTTTAGAGTTACGGTCTCATTCCAACACCTTGGGATAAATAAGGATTTCATGAAAATCTTCACTGACTTCCAAACAAATATGTGTAACACTGCTGCTAATTTTAAAGCCCAACAAGCGTGATCATCATAACCTCTGCTGTGATACCAAAGATTCTTGAAATTGCTTATACATGCATGAATCACCCCTACAAAAATTACTGCTTGCTTTTAATGAAGATAATGTATGTCACTAGGATTATACCACTGCATGCAGTATCATTAAAGAAAGATAGACCAGAATTTATGATTAAGCCTTTGAACAGAAGGGCACTATTTTAACCATAAAACTCACAATCTACAGGGACAGTGGCCAAAGCTGAGCAACCATTAAAAACTTGTAATTAGCATCAATCAAGGTGACACTCCTGATGACATCTTTATTACTCCAAATACTCTAATCAAGTACTTCTGCATTGAGATGAAGAGCGTGATAGGCAGCTAGACATAAAACACATCCTTATGGAGAGCAATTTAAAATTACCTGTTCAAAAGCTAAGAAAAAAGTATAGGTGTTAATCAAGGGGGACGCAAACACATGGCTCTGAAATGGAAGAACTCAAAATGCACCTGCGACGCAGTCACAGGCTTATGTGCTTTGTCATCAGGTAGTCCTAAAAGTAACACACATTTCCATGGCCCTTCTGTATAACTCCCGAGACTATCTTAATTTGGATGAAAAAATAACTCAGAGAAATATAAGCTTCAGGCCACCCTGTCTCATAAACAAACAGGCAAAATACTCTTGCTTAGCGTTTACTGATTTTCTAGAACTCTTCTTAACCATGCACATGTAAATGAAAGCTAGAGAGCTGAGCTAGGTGTCATTTACATAATTACAATAGGGACTGTCAATATTATCTAATTGAATCAGTGCTCAATTTCATACCACACAGACTCCGAAATATGCTGTTATTATTATTGTTCATATAAATATTTCAAAAAGCCACTCAGCATCTTGGCTCCCCTTGAATCTATATGATATTATACCATAATGCCTGTAATTTTTTAAAAACTCCTCTTCCCTGAACAGTTTTTGGTTGTTTGATGTTTCCAAACTGAATTCTTGAGACAGAGGGCACCGACCAGAAGTAAAGGATGAGAAGTTATTTTCAGATAGCAAAATCTGTCTTAGGACGCAATTCAGAATCATGGCAAGACTGGCAAGGCATCTCCACAGGGTCCAACTTTATCCTTGCCAAATGAGCCCATAATAGCAAAGACTCTCATTATGAAAATGATGAGCCCAACCATCACTTGGCTCCGAAGTTCAACTTTATTTATAGTTTTCGTAATTTGTGAACCTACCACCAAGTTTCAAAAATATAACATATTTTCTCTGACACCTGCCTCTTAAAAAAAGTTTGTGTGTGCACATCCAAACTCAGCAGAGATGAAGGAAATTTCTCACTGCTTTTTCCACCCAATGGGAAAAGGACTGTTGAAGAGGATGAATGACAGAACAGAGGCCATCTGTAGGGATGAACTGGTCAAAGCACAATGCCCATAATTCACTGAAACAGAAGCAAATCATTCGAACCCAATTCAACTTTTAAGTGCATCATTGGGGACAGACAATTTTCCAATAAGAGTGATAGCCTTAAAAAGGTAAAATAGCAGTAAAGAAAATCTTATAATCTTGCTACTGAAAATTCCATTTGTCAAAGCCAATGTCTATCAACTCACTCCTTCTAAAATACTGTACTCTGATTTTTAAAAGCAGTTACTTGGAACATCTCTTAAATGATAACAACCCAACTTGTTAGTCTCTTAAAGGAAGATGGGCCCTTTTGTCTGAATGGGGATTTATACTCTAACAAGTTATTTTATACACATTAAAATTTGCATCTCTACTCTGTGGGTATAGATAAGATTATGAGGTCGCAGGTTAAGATGAGGTCATAGACTAAGAAAAGTCAATGTCCTCCGAATGGACACCTAGATGGGGTACTCATATGGTCACTCAGTATCTTCTCTACTATGCTAAGCCAAGCTTCAGTTGCTTTCAAATGTTTCATAATCTTATTAAGAACCACAAAGTATAAGTGATGCTTACCCATAATAAAGGCAAATTTCAAAGAATACTTTTTTCGAAAAGAAACTTGTTCACATATACAAGAAAAATCACTAAGATAAATAGTGAACATGGCAAACCCAGTTAATCTGAACATCAGTTTGCCTTATTTAGAGATTGGTCATCTTGCTTGTCCAGGCCAAGACTTTGTTTTTCACTGTGAAGAGTCATTTGATTCTCACTGACGCACAAAGAATGGGGAAGGTTGTGAAATGCTGAATGACGGAAACATTGCCAGCCAGACACAAAGTGTGGGCTAATAATGAGTCAGGGATGGGCTCCCCAGAATCAAAGACTTCTATGTCCAACCTTTAACAAAGGAGCCTAGTGTAAACAAGGCTTCAGGGAAAGTAAATGACATAAGAAAGGGACAGTCACTTCCTCACCAGAGAACACATATTTGTCAAAATTGGTTGAAACGTGTCCAATAGCTCCAAGGAAGACCGGAATTAGAGGACTCATACCAATAAATGCTACTTTGTAGATCTAGAAGCAGATATACTTGAAGGCTAGCCCACTCTCTTACCTTACTTAAATAACTCAAAAGATTATTGGCTTATGTTTTGTAGTTCATATCATTTTTGCATCCAAAAAAATGGAGGAAAAATGGTAACACTACAGAAGTTAAATGGAAATAGGAGAACCAGAAGAAACATAATTGTAGGTAAAATAGCTTATATATAGAAAAAAAGAAGAAAATCTTCATCTAACAAAAATAGAACAAGAACACTGTAAGCTCATCACTACCTGACCCCTTGCATGCTCTTTGATTCAATATTTCCCTTATCTTGTTGCCCCAGCAATAATTCAGGTTATTTAACTACAGTTCTAAATTGACTACAACCCATGTGAATTATAAGGAAGCATTTCAATTTTTTAACATGGGCAAGGATATTTTCATTATATTTATGTCTTACACAATGGAGTCATTATCAGTAGGAAAAATGAGCAGTGGATATTTCAGACATTGAGTTAATTAACAAATAATGTGGGAAACTCTGATAAATCAACTGAGTTTTTTATTAGTAGAAATTTTCTTCTGCTAATATATTTATTTTCAGTAAATATTCCAACAAATAATTCTAGATAGCATATATGTTGTATTGCAATTTTTAGAACTTGGTAGATAAATACATTTAATGTTTTTACCTGAACATTTAAAAAGTTGGCTGTATCTGTGTAAGATAATAACAAACATAACATGCATAACAAAATACTGGTCACCGTAGGTACCCCAAAACAAGAGTTTACAAATCATACAGCCTCTCACTGGTGGTGACCAGTAGAGATGGGTTGGAAAAATTCTGCTTAGTTATGAAGATTCCAAAAATGTGAATATAAAAAATGCAAAATAATTTAAGATGAAAACTTATACTACTCTAATGTTGAATTAAGTGTCAACTCATTCTGTAAATATCCTAAAGGAAATAATTTAAATACTGTTTTATGACTGGCGGAGGTTTCCACGGACCCTGATGGAAAATAAAAGTCCCTAAGCAAAGAGAAAAAACCAACTTGGAAATAGATCACTTAGAGAACACATAAATTGGGTTATCCCTAAACTTGGCTTATTACAAAATATCTTAGCAATGAAAAATACTATGGAAAAAAACTCTATAGATCTATTTCTTAACCAATTCAATTAGATTCCATTGCCAACAAAAAGCTTGCAATGAAAGGCCATGTATATTATATAAATATATACAAAGGGGAAAAATCTCTGAGTAGAAAAGTACAGTCTATCTCAAATCATAATAGCACCCATCTACCATCCAAGATATGGTAACATACATAATGTATATCCATTGCTTTCTAAGGCACCTGATGGGGTGGTCAAAGTGACCCAACATTACTCCTCAGGCTCTAGGTCAAAAATAGAAGCAATAAATCCGTGAGTGCTAAAGATGGGTGAATACCCATAGAGATGAGATGGTCTCTATTGCTTTGTATTGAAACCCTTAAGTGGTTTGCAATTATCTTATGAAATACATCTGCTCACTTGAATTTTTATTCTGGGTTTTTTTTTCTGTCCATTGAATAGTTAAAGCCACTATACTTAAAATAAAAATGGATCAGTTCTAATTTAATAATAACAGAAGTCCTTTGGGGCTTATCCACTGTTGACAGCGACACAGAATATTGACCTTGAATTTATAAAATATTGACTGAACTTTTATTGTTCTCCCCCTGTTTCCTAGGATGTGATAGGATCAGAATGTGTTTTCCACAGGCTGTTGTTGTTGTTTTCATTTTGCCCAGGGGTAGGAGAGATTCTTTCTTAAAGGGAGTTCAACTAAACAAACCAAACTGAAAGAATCAATTGCACGCTAGATAACAAGATATTTTCATTTAAAATACATCCTAATAAAGTTTTGAGATAATCCTTCTTTAAATTAAAAAGAAATGTGTGAGGAGGTCTGTGTAACCAGAGCTATACCCCTGCAAACAGCACACAGGTGTTTTTGAAAGGGAAACAAAACGAGGACCAACATAACAACGTGTGTAGTAGTTCCTGAATATGCGAAGAAAAGCTGAGCTGGGAGCTATCTTTTCTTCCTCCTGCTCCTGGACTAGTCTTCCATTTGCTCACCTGCAACATAAGCATAATAACAGTGACATTACCTCCTTGTGTTATGGCAAGGAAAGAATGAGACAGTACATGTGAAACCACCTTGTACACCATAAACTGCTATAAACACATACATTATAAATGAGAACTCTGCACATATGTAACTTATGAGCAAAGAGGAAGGCAGACAAGTGTGGTTGAGTGGAAATTTATTCATTCTAACACAGATGTGCCAAAAGTCATTTTTGCAATTGTTTTTCCCATCGCATAATTGACTTCGTGTTGCTCCAAAGTCTTCAAGCTCACATGCTGGTAAAAATACCAAGCAAAACAAAAAAAATTAAATTTGTTTCTTTAGTATAATTTGGGTTCTTCAGAAAACAGTCATTTGGGGGTAAATTTTCATTTGGAGGGAGTTGTTATCCCCCATTCCTCTTGTTACACTGATCTGTCCTCATGAACAAGTTTATGTCAGACTGTGCAGAGACGGAGGAGCATTAGCGTCTGCCACTGCCCTTGCTGGATGGGCTATCAGGTCTGAGTGAGGCACAGTTAACCCCACCCCGGTCTCTATGTGGAGACTTCCACCTTCACAGTCGTCATAAACGTCTGCAATCATCTCTTAGCATAGGAAGTAGACAATGATCACTTCCAAACTTCTTTCCAACTGACCTCTTTTTACCAAGTATTTATTAGGGAGGTGTAGAGAACTATAAATGGTAGTTCTCCAAGGCTCCAGAGGAGAAAGGAGACAGTGTCTTCTGCTTGCATCTCCCCCTCAACTTCTGTCATAGTTTGGGCCGCCTGTTAAAAAACCCCAGCCTGTGGTGCCATTGGGAGGTTGTAGAGTCTTTCATTGGCGGGCTTAGTGGAAGAAAGTGAGGTTAGCGGGAGTACATGAGAAAAGAGGATATTGGGACCCTGGTCTGTTCCTGTCTTTCTCTTTGCTTTATGACAGTCATGAGGTAAGTGGCTCCCTGCCACAATGTCCTTTCTCACACAGTCCCCCAAATAGACCGTGGACTAAAACCTGTGAAACCGTGAGCCAAAACGAAACTTTCTTCCTTATAAATAAACACAGCAACAGAAAACTGACTAACACAACCTTCTTGAGTGTTTTGTTTTGCTTAATCACCTTGGTCATGGTTGTTACCCTCCATGTCTCTTCCGGTCAGGGGCAGCACAGCTCAGAGGCTTTGCCCTCTTATGCAGTAGGGTCTCAGTGGATGAAAGTCTTGAGTGTTTACCCCTCAGAATTTCTTCTTAATATGTAAATGAAAGCTTAGAATTTTCAACAAATCTTGGCTTTTAAAAGAATTCTCTGATAGCCTCAATGACACACAACACATTTATTCTAGAGTCTAGACAGCATGTACCACACTATCAGTGATGGCTACTGACCAAACCCATAGTGTCCAGCTGCCAGGTGAGAGCTATAGGACGTTATGGGAATTATAAAGCATCATAAAATGTTTCCAGACTTGATCCTTGTAACATTAGCTGCACAGTTTAGAACTATGGGACATTTCAAGAGTTTCTTGAGTGGGGGGGGGTAATATTGTGAAGTAACAATTATATAGGGTTATTAACCCATCTTATAGATGAAGAAATGGGACCCTTGCATGAGACAAATGATTTCCTCAGTAAAGTACACCATATAAAAGTTTAAACTCCAGCCGTAATGGTGTAATGGTGCACTTCTGTAAATTCAGCACTCAGGAGGCTGAGGGAGGAGGATGGTTGCAAATTTGAGACCAGCGTTGGCTACAAAGTGAGCTCAAGGCCAGCCTGAATTGCACAGTGAGACCCTGTCTCAAAACAAAAAAAAGTTTAAATTCCAAATTAAACCAAAATATAAACACCAGTTATTTGCACTGTTATTCCTGAGTTCTTTTCACTATTGAAATAGAAGTTCCTTGATAATAACTGTCAATCCAAAAGAATAAAATAAGAATTTCTGCTACTGACCTAAACAAAATACACACACACACACACACACACACACACACACACACACACCACACCACTCCACTCCACTTTGGTGAAGACTGGCAAGAGATATCCTGATGATTCATCATTAAACTCCTTTATTCACTCCTTTCTTCACTCAGCAAGCATCTAGTGAAGTTTCACCTACAACAAACATTATGCTATGGATTGGAAATTTAACAAGATAATTGTCCCTTCTCTTTATCTCAAGATAGTGAGTGGGAGAGACAGAAAAATGTAATCATAGGACAAGTAGGAATGATCAGTGCTGTCTAATATTAAGTATCATAGCACAACTCACGTGTTGAGTTGTGAGAAATGCTCATCTCAATAGGCAAATCACTAAGAGAAAGACTGAAACACAGAGTTCTACAACAACATGGAAGTCAGGAGAACTACTTACAATTCTTGTTCATTTATCACTGGCTATTTCATTCTCAATAGTCTCAAGGCACTATAGACTTGCACTACGTGGAATAACCATAGCTGATCCATCTTGCATTCCATACTGAGCTGGAGTACTGTACCTATGTCTCACATGCGAATTCACCTGTGGCCTTAATGATTCACTGAACTGCACTTAAAACAAAAAATGAATGCAAAGGGTATATGTGTGTGTGTTCATGTGTGTGTATGATAGTCTTAAAGGATATGAACAACCTCACTGATAGCCCCTTTATACCTGTATTAGATAATGTAGCCAATGAAATGATACTTCAGCTGATTGCTTTCCTACATGTTTTATTTATTGAATACAAATTTTCTTAATGTTATCTCTCTTTTACTCACCACATATATACCTGCAGCACTAAAAAACAAATTCAGTAAATGTCATTCAAATATTTTCCTCAAATATGCCATTTTCCAAGCAATCGTTTTTCACCTATAATAGGGAAACTCCAGAAATGACTTGAGATTTGAGTTAGTATTCAGAAGTCTACTCATGTGAAGGCTCTATCAGAATAATGCCAAAAAAAAAAAAAAATACTTTTAGGTGGCTAAAGAGTGACAAATGCCAAATGTAGTGAAGAAACATGAATGTGTGAAATTTTATTCTTCCAAATTCTGCAGCATAAATACTTTTCCTGAAACATTAAGTTCTTTGATTTAAATTTTGAACTTAACAGGCTGGTACACTTAAACCATTAATTCTAATTAAACAGAAAAACTACAATTATCCCCTAAATACTAAATGGTTTAGAAATAGTTTAGTAAAGGAAATAAAAATCCATAGCCATTTTTTCTCTTGGGGAGTGAAAGGCATTTACATATCCCACTATGGAATTGTAAATATGCTAATTATATGCTAATGTAAACATGAAAAAATGTTCTATGGAAATTGCAAGTTGAAGAACTACCAGAAACATGCAAAAAAAAAAAAAAATAGTAGGTCTGCTTGAAAACGTCTGCCATCTTGCTTATTGATGTGTAAACATCCAATATGCTCAAGGCTTTGACATCTCTATTCATTTTGGGGTTTGAATCAGCTATAATTATATGACCCTTAATTGTGTGATTGATTTGTCAAAATTCTCAAATCTTTTACATAAGAGGCAAACTTTTTATAAATAACAGTAATTTTATGACTTCACATTCTAAGTGAAAATTTCTCGAGGAGATTGAGATGTCCTAAATTAACAGCATGTGTGTTAATTGGCTCATTTGTTCAACTACTCAGACATAGAACTGTATTTTTCACAGCAGAGGTCACATTTTTAATCTTCCTTTTTAAAAAAGATTTTTTTCACCAATGTTCCCTAAAATGCTCAACAAGAGCATCCTGTAAAACTTCATACCTGACACAGAGCAAGAGGAGGCCCCATTCTCTGTATTCCATTACATAAAAAGATCATTCTAGGCAAAATACCAGGAAGAAGGAAGATACCCAGTGAGTGAAATGACACAAGTTTCAAATCTTTGTTCCAGGTTACTGCTCCCTCCAGTTATAAAGTGGCTTTTGCATCTGGCAAGCATATGCAGAACACTAGGCCAAATATGGCCAGAACTGTAGCCAGGTTCTTCCATGTGACTCATTCTGACAACCAACCAAAAGTTCCCAATATCGATTTCATTTCCAAATGAAATTTTTACTTTTTTCAGTAGATGTGCTAATATTTTATATACAAGTATAGATAAAACTGACTTACTTGAATATTTTTAAATGAAAAAAATTATGAGATAAAAATATACATAGTGTACTTGTTTCAACAGAAAGAATGAATATTAGGAATGAGATGGATGCTTGGATATTATGGAAATGGTCCTGTAGATACAATCTCCCTCACACTGTCAAAGATTAAGCAACATAAGGGGAGGAGTTTTCAGGGCTTCTGCCAGGCACAGAGGAGAAACAGTCCATGGCAGGACAGACAGGAGGGCAGCAAACAGTGAGGCTGCCTTCTTTCTGACTCTTTATATTCCATCCAGGCTACAAGCATAATGCCTGGTGCCATCCACATCCAGGGTGGGGCTTCCAATTAGCCACATCCAGAACAATGCTAAGGAATCAGTGGACTAATACAATTATCACAGGCCTTTAATCTATATTCATACACTCTGGAGCCAGCCACCTCTGATAAGCCAACTCATTTTTGTGTTATTTAGAGTAAGATTAAACGGCCGAATTACTGTATATATTACTTGATATTTTGTTATAGTGATACTGGCTTATTGTAGCATTATCAAGATGCTGCATACTGACAGTGTATGTAACAAATCCACATCAACAAAAATGAAACAACATTTTCTTGGCTCATTCATTCAAAAAAGTTTACACTGAGAGATGGATGATTAACAAATGTGTCTCTAAAATATGTTTGCAGCTCATATAAAGAATATATTGAAAATGAGCAAATTACAAATGTTTTAAATTATTTTAAACAACGTCTGCATTGTTCGTACTGAGGAAACTCCCATAAAGCATATTTTAGATACATCAGCAAACCTTCTCACATCACCTTAACCATTTTGTTTTTATTTTTCCAAACAGTATCTTTTAGATACGCTCATCGCATTCTCTTCTAGCCCGGACT